TTCACTTTTTATACTTTTAGTCACTGTCTTTTGTTTTTTGGTGAAAACAAAATTATGAAACACCTGGCTGACAGACATGGACCCACCCACTGCTAGTCCCCTGACTAGTTAAATCAAGTGGTTATAATTAAACTTGAAAGAAACTGGCAAGGGGTTTCTAGGAGTCTTCCTAAACAAAGTCCAACTGAAAAGTAAAGACAAAAATAAAACTGTTTTCAAAAGCTTAACAAGGCATTTCCGGCACAAAAGGAAAACAGCATGACTCATCCCAGAGCTTCTGGTGGGAGCTGTATGAACACTGAACTGAGCTATAAACTCTGACTCTAGCAGAGTCACAGACATGTGGTTCGGTTTAGATGCCATTCTCCCAGGGGGGAGCCATGGGCTACTACAAAACGACAGACTGAAACAATGTCTTCCAGCTAGACTGCACCAACACGGCATGAGTTCAGCTGCAAACTGAGAGTTAACATTGGAATTGAGGGTCAGGGTCAAATGGGGGTGAGATGTTCTACTGAATTACACAACACTGCTAAAAAGTCTCACATCACAGGGAACTTGTATTATTGGTTCTTTGGTATTTCTGAGAATAAATGAGCCCCAGTCTGAGGTTATCTGAGAGTCAGGATCCTTCAGTCAAGAATGAGATACATCCCCTCTGCAAGTGTCATCATTTTCTACCAAACTCGCCATATGTTTGAATTCATTCTGAATAATGGATTATGAAAATTATTTTCCTGAGAGAAAAAAGTACCCTAAAGGTTCATATTAATATCCAGAAAACTTTGTATTTCTTTTAACAAAAGCCAAACAGACTGACTCATCTTCAAAGAGTTATCCGTCTGATTCAAGAACATGAATGAGGGAGGAAAAGACAGAGACACACCAACACACCCATCTTCCAGCTGGGTTAGCAAAGTCAAAACACAATTAAGGAGACATTTAAGTGAAAACAAGCAACAAAGAGTCATTTAATCCTCTCTTTAAATGTCAACAGACAAATTAATGGTAATACATTGAGCACACACAGAGACCAGCTGCAATGATTCTCCACCAAATGTTACCACCAAATGCCTAAAGGCTACCAAAAACCTAACAAAGTGTCTTTGCAACTATGTAGAGAGTGAAGAGCAATAAGAAGAAAAAAAGTAAAAAAGACAGGAAATTATCATTAGCAAACATTTTTTTTACTTTTTACTGTACCGAGACTAACCACAACAAAGCTTAGGGTGCAGTTAGATGTAGTGAATATTATAAAACAACTAACCAGAGAAAGTAATTGTGTATATTTTCTCCATTTGTGAGCCAGTATCCTTAGTCTAGGTAAGTTCAACTGAGGTCACCAGAAAAACTACTGGGTGATTCATGGTGCTGGTGGAGAGGCAAAGGGAAATTGGGGCCATAAAGTTTGCTCAAAGAAGTTTGAAACTGAAAATGTATTTTTAAAGTGAAATACAACATTTGTAACTAAAAACTGGTTTTGAAATGAAAAAAAAAAATATATTTGAAAAAATAAGTTATTCTTAAGCTGAAAAAAGACTTGACACAGAAAAGAACTTTAAAACTTTAAAAAAAACTTTAAAACTACTTTTCAGATTTAATTTTATTTCGGCTTTAAACTGAACATGGGGGTGGAGCTTAGATGAGATGCGATGTGGTTTGAGGCCTGATTGACAGCTTAGGACAAAAGTGTTCCCAGGTGTTTCATACAGGAGCTATGGCAACTTTAACTTGCAAGCAAGATAAATGGTTGCAAGATTTCTGAATTCACAAACTCCTGAAAATACAGCTTGTCAGAAGCCAATAAATGCTCTAGCCTAAAATACAGGAATGTTTCGATCCAATGAAGTGACGTTTTTGACATCCAACAGAAGCGAAAGGTTAAAGCAAAAAAATACATGGCTGCGCTGGTGGATGTACCGGTAGACTCCCTTATTCAGTCTGTTTTATCTGGAATAGCCTTTATTTCTTTTTTTTTTAAGGACCATAATGACATAATTTGTGCCTTTGTTGATTGGAAAAATGTTTGTGGGTGCCTCCTGATAAGATTTAATTTATCAGTTAACTTCGCAAGTTGTGAAACAAATCAAAAATGTGATACGTCGCAGCTGCTATTGCTGCTGTGATTGGCTAAAAGCTCATCATGGGGGACATGTGCCATTTGGTGATTAACCCAATCATCTTGAAGAATTTTCTGAATGTCCCTTTTGCAAACATTTTCCATAGGGGCTTTTCCAGATGGATACTTTGTAGAATTGAAATTGAACTACATGGATCAGTAAGGCTTCTGCAAGGTTAGTGGCAACAAGAAATGTCTTCAAAACATGATTACTATTCCTTTTTTATGTGAATTGGTTTATAAACTACGATGCAACTGGAGAAAGTGACTGTTTATCCCTATGTACCACATTTAAGAGTGAAGCAATGTATTTCTAGTGGTGCGAACAATGTGATTAGAAACAGGTGAAGTGACATTACCTTAAAAGCCACAATAGACACAAAGCTGATTTCAGTGGCGTTTAAGAATCCAAACTTTTCTTTTATTTTGCATCTTGTCAGCCAATCAGTTACTATATGTTATTGCTTTTTTCAACCCGATAGCAAAAATAATGTTAATGTATAGGTATATGGGTGGTTTTCAAAAAAGGGGTTTTAATTTAGCCCTTAGATTGACGAGAAGTAGGGAAGAGACTATGATCCAGCCTTAGTTTTTGGACTCCCCAAATAGAAACACTGGTGGTTGTTAGGCTTTCCATAATAAATATAGCACCATACCTCGCTCTGTAAAATTTGAAGCATGCAAGCAGGAGATAGGAGCATCTCTTATTTGATGACGTTGTGAAGTGTTGTCCTTATTGGACACGCAAATTGCAGATGAAGTATCAAGTGAGCAACACCAGGCAAAGAAAATCTGCTGAAATTAGGCTTAGTGTAAGGTGTTTATTTTGCCCCATGACATTTGTCACATTGGAGCAACCATGATATTGATATTGTTGTGCAGCATTTTTGGTCTGCGTTCGATATTTCCAAAGCTCTCAATACAAAACAGAAGAGCCCACAGACTGATCACAGTAGCTGGATTGTGGCTTAATAACCATGTTATTTTCTAAAACTGATATAAAACATAGAATATCAATAAGGCTTTGAAGATATTTCCAGTTTCTGTGGCTCCTTCAGTCGTCTTTAGCACTCCATATAATCTAGCCCCATGCAGAAGGGCCAGTAGTTTGAAACTTAAAAAAAATAATAATAATAAAATGTAAAAAAAAAAAAAAAAAAATAGCTTTAACATTTAATTTGTCTTTCATTTTTTTTTTATTGTAAAAAAAAAAATGTGTTTCAAATCTTTATTTTTGCTTCCTAATTTTTTTTTGTTGTTGTTTTGTTTCCAAAAAAATAATGTTTTATGAAAATACTTTACGGGTGCACTTTAGACAGGGCATAAAAACTAACCCAAATTATTTTTGTTTTTTTGCTTTTAAGCCAACAGAGTGTTAATTTCTGCTAATGTAATCTGTAATCTGTGAAAGAAATCCATGGCATTATTTTTAGTGGGCTTTATATCAATACTATAAGTGCCAAAAAAGTGTTGTATGTATCAACTTAAAGCTTAAATTCAGTTTGCTTATGTCCTGTGACATGTCCTATGAGCATAAGTTATGCATACTACACTTTTGTGCATTTGTGCATAAATCAATTTAGCCAAAAACATTGGTAGTTGAAACCATGACTCCATAAAAATACATCACCTGACCTTTAGTTACTTTTGAATAATACATCTATAAAGAAATACACCTCTGCTTAAAAATATTGTTTCACTGGGAGAGCAAATTTCTATTCCATTGACATAGCAGCAGAATCAGAACCACACTGCATGGCATGCAGATGTTACTTCAGAAAGAACATTTAAAACTTATGTGCAGTTTTAAAGTTGCAGATGTGCGTGCACCATGACAAATGGGATTTTGAAAACTTTGCAATGAAATATAAGATTTATTTTCTTTTAGTACCTGGGGATTTCCTCTTCGTGCGGCTGCCCACAGACCGCCTCTGTCCACCTGTGGCACATCCAGCTTGATGCGTTGTTGGGTGTTTCACACAGCAGCGGTATCCACAGACCCCCGGTGTCACAGCGTCACAATGCAGGACACCACCACACCACGATCACCCGTTCTCACAGACTCAGCTCTCCACTCTTCATCCCTGCAGGCGACAGTCAGCAGCGTGAGCACAAGTAGGGGCAGAACAGTCCAGACTTGTCGGGATGCCTGAAGGAGAGCAGCTACAGAGCTCTCCCTTTCTACTTTTTTTTTTTTTTCATCCTCCTCCCACTCTGCAGCTGATTGCATGTCAAACAGAGTGCTGGTAACATCTTTTTTTATCTGGCTAAGATTGATTGGACTTAAGTATTATTCAAATTAGTGCAGCAAAATAAATAGTTTTACCTTTTACATTTCTTCACTATATTTTAAAAACATAATTAAAACACAACATTTTTCTTTTGTCTCTTATTGAAAAAGTAAACAGGCATACTGTATGTTCCAATAGATGTACAATGCTGAGAAATATTTGACCCCTTTACCGATTTTATTTCCATTTGCCTTTTGTAGTGATAATTGCATCTATGAGATCATAAAACAGAGATGTAACAAAATCATTATTACATTTATTTTCTGTGAGAAAAAAACATTCACGACTCCATTTATTACAGCAAGTTGGCCAAGTCTGGAAGGAACAAAGCAGCCCCAAACCATTACACTAACACTGTTTTACTGTATGTGTTTTTTGTTTGTTTTTTTTTGTCTTTTTTTCTGAAATGACATCTCTGTCTGTTACACCATATTTAACAATAAGCAAAGCTTCTGAAAAAGTGATAATTTAAAATAATATTTTTATAGAGAAACATTTTATTTTATGATTGAATCATGAACTTTTAACATAACTGGGGCAAGTGAAGTGGTCTTTTTTTTTACCACTGTAATACTGGTGCACTCTTGGAGTAATTTTGGTGGATGGAAACTACTAGGTACGTTCCATAGATACCACTGATTTGTCTCTCATCTGGTCGTTTTTATTTGTCATATCAAGCAATAATGTGTTTCTTCTTCATGTTATCACATAGGTTTAACCTACCGGTATGTATTTTTAAATTCTACAGGTCAGATGTTTTTCAAGCCTTGGTATGGAAATAAAGGAGCATATGGGGAAAATCACAATTTATTTTCATATGCTCTAGCTTGATAAATTGATTTTGTTTCATATTTATTTGAGGAAATATTTGTCTAATTTTACAATTTATTTGATTATCTGAAACATTTACATTTGACAAAAAACAAAATCTGTCAGGAATGGCTTTTATACTGTAGTCATGTATATTTTTTATATCAAATAAGTCAGGAAAAAGATTTTTCATGTGAAATTTATAAGTATGAAATACAGTGAACCAGAGATTTCCAGGAATGTTCTGTTCTGCTTTTGTTGCCGTATCAGCAACTTAGAGGTGATCCTTGTAAACTGGACCCATAGCTGGTATGAGGAGGTTTTTCCTTTGGGATTTGCGTGGGTTGCAAGCTGAAATGTCCGCAAAATCAGGATGTTTTTGAAAGGACATAAAGTCAAGCCGAGACTTTAAAATAAATAAATAAAGTAACAAGCATCAGACTCTTCTTGGGCGGTTACTTCTTGGTCCCATGTGTGAGACAGAAAGGCGGGGCATGCAGCAACTGCTGAGACTGAACTTAGTGGGCTCTTTAAAATGCAGTTTTTGGTACTTCTTTTTTCAGACAAATTTTTCCAGTTAATACAATCAGATTCATGGTTTCTAACTCTGTCTCTAGCATTTAAGTTTTTATACAAAAGCTGTGTTCAGTTTCCCTCAAAAGTTGCAACATTATAGTAATTGGCTGTGAGGAGATTTTGCTATTGTTATGATGTGTCACATCCGGTATTTTTCAAACCTCCAAGGAAATTATTTCTGTTTTTTGGATCAATTTAAAACAGATTTTTTTTTCCAAATTCTCCGTAGATGTATCTGTTTTGCTGTTATCTAGCAACATCAAGATGATGGCAAGTCTGTATAGTTGAAGGACTGGACTGAAATGCAAGAAAGACCAAATGTCTCAATTAAATATTTGAGAGACTTTTAAAAAAAAAAAATGAAATACTCTAAATTAGTTCATGACAATCTTCTTTAATTTCATACAATTAAACTTACCTCTGTGAATAAATAGTTATGAAGTTTTTTCCATATCATTTATCTCTTTTAAGTGTGTTTTATTTCCCTCATTTAATATTGAAAATAAAGTAGTGATGCTTTTTCATGTGAAGCTTGACTAAAGAAGAAAAACAAAACAAACAAAAGCATAGATAAGTAGCATATGCATGTTAATGTCACATTTTACTGATAAACAACCTATTGTTTAATTCATAAGTTAAACAGTTATTGGAAAAAATGCTTTGAATAACCTTGAAGCCAATATGTTAATCTCATAGACAGGTACAAATAAGTAGATGCTTCCGCTGTTTGAAAAAATTATTGTTTTGTACAGGAAAAAATCAGGTATGAAATACCTGGAGGTAAACATTTCTATGATAAATGCTAAATAGGTGAAATGACCAGCAGCTGTTGTGGCTCAGGAGTTTTACATAGTACCATCAGAGGCTCTAAATCATTTCACTTCAGCTTGACATGAACCTGTTTTATGTTTCTCAATAAAAATTTGACTGGGCAGGAGTTTTGAAGCTTGATTTTTTAATATATACTGAAATAAACAAGCTTGTTAAAAAAAAAAAGAAAGAAAAAGAAGAAATGCTTGACTTTTTAAACAATGTTTGCTTCACATTTCCAGGCAGTCTTTTTCTGATTTGGAGACAGCACTCTGCAATGAAATAGTCTTAGTTGTAATTTATAAGTAGGCCTCCCCAAGCATGATATAATGAGTGGATTTATTAAGCAGAGGGAGACGTTATAATTTTGGTTTCTTCCATCTGAACACCTTAAGGCCCCTCCAGCAGTTATAATATTACCACTTATTCATGTTGATTCCTGCAACTGAAGCTGTGGCAGTAAAATTACAAATTCCCCACCCTTGAGGGTTGAAGTTTTTCATCAGAGTGTGACAACAATGTTTTCTATTTCAGAGGAGGAATTTACTTTTTTTCCCCACATGAAACTTGATTGTCAGCCATATGTGCTTTGTAACAAAAGCATTATTTGGTAAAAGGTGGATTGCTCAATTAACTTCTTACATTGTTTCTGCCACTGTATTAAAATCTCAGATCATTTGCACTTTCAGACAAAGACAGATATTTTAGAGCTGCGGGGAAGAAGGCAGAAAGAAATCTATGTTAGCCAGATGTGTTGACTTGTATCTGGATATTTTGAGTCAGCCAGCGAAACTAAAACCAAAGCCATGTTGCACTAATAAAAGCACATTCCAGCGTAAGAATGTTGGCTATATCCTCCTGTAAAGTTCTTCTTAGGTTCCACTTATAATAAACAATAAAGGCAAGATACAGTTGCATTATCTCTTTCCTTCTTCAATTTTGTGTTATTTACATTAAACCTTTTTAGTCGCTTAACCATAAGAAATAAGCAGCTGTAAGTCCTTAAGGTTCAAGTGGTAAAAACATGTGTATTCAATTTCTGACTTTATGTGTGTTTCATAGAACTAGTTTAGTTCATTAGTACATAAGTCTGGCTACTTGGTTGTCATTTGGGTTTCATACAACTGGTTAACTTGATCCGATTTGGTTAACATGGCAACCACCCACTGAACTGGTCGGGACAAATTTTAGAGCCCACCTTATTTCAAACCATATCTCTTCTTTTATGAATCAAGCACCAGGGCGAACCGTAAGTGACAGTATTAGCACCATGGTTTGGCCCAAATGCGTTGTACCATCAAACATGGCAACAAGCTATAAGCTACTTATCACAAAACTGATTGAACAGCATGCATAGTTTTTCACAATATTTTTCAAAACATAAGCAAATACTGTCATGATCCTGCCCTTTTTGAGTTTTCATTTACATTTTAATTTATGTCGTTCTGTTTTCTTGGTAATTGTTTCTTTTTCATTTTGTGTCATTGCAGTTGTTTTCTTGTTATATTTAAGCAGCGCATTGATTCTTGAGTCGCTCTCTGCTACCCCCTTGTGCCTGTCCCCTTTCCCCTAGCTCCCTTCTAGTCACTTCTATCCACACCTGCTCCATCTCAGCTCATTAGCCCATTCTTTGTTCTGTTCCCCATATATACACCACCTCTGCAGTTCCTCATTGCTGGTTCCTTATCGTTTCTTTGCCTCCCCATGTGTGTTTTCCCTGACATTTCCTGGATTTCTTGCTTTTCTGTATTGCGTTTTGAACTTTGCTTTTGTTGCCTTTGTACTAGCATTAAATCTTCGAGAATTCCCCTCAGCTTCCGTCTCTGTATTTTAGTCCTCTAAAAACCTCAACACAACCTGACAATTACATATATTTCAACAAAACTAAACAAAAACAAATGTATAAATCCTATATAATATCTAGAATATGGCAGCATTGTGATTTCTGACCATGCAGCTGTGATTTTGAAAATTCATTTT